TTTTCTCTAGCTGTTGCCAATGAAGAATCTCCTAAAAAATCCTGCTGGCTCCTGGATTGGACAGGCTGTCTCCAAAACTCCATATGAATTTGTCCACCCCTGTGTTATATTATAGGGCCAAGCAATGTATAAATGTAACACTTGCAGCAATGTATTACCTCTTCTACAGACATAACAGCACTATTTTTTACCAACATATTTCTCACCTTTTCTACCCAGAATGCCATCCTTATTCAGATATCAATTCACTGTCGGATTCTACTTCCCACTGGTGTGAATTGAGCACCAGAAATCCCATAGGAAAGCATTGTGATGCATTTTGGCTATGATCTGCCTGCTTTGCATAGAGACCCAGTGATGTAACTGGGTAAAAAAGTATATAATGAAAACAGAATGGGTTTATTTAAGAGTTTATTAGCATGTCCACGTGGGAGAAAGGAGAAACCAGGAAAGGAAAAATATATGAAGATTAAAATGCCGATTCACACCTTAGCCTTTAAGCCGAATGCATTTTCTACTGAAAGCAATGTAAATGTGTCGAGATGCAATGTAACACACATTAAAACACACAGCAACATGCATTCACATGCTTTTAATGCATTTCTATCGATTGCAATGGAAAACACATCAGGCAAAAACATAGGTGTGAAACCAGCACAAATAATCTCACACTCAAAACCATCAGTGCAAAATCTGCCCCTTTCTGTGGTTCCTCAATAAATGTACATTCCAATTAAATGAAGTTTCCCGGCCTCAATAAAAATCTATTGAAATTAAATGAAGTTTCCCATAGGCAAAACTGTAAACAGGAAATCCATTTTTGTTTTTTAAGTAGAATGTATACTAGCGTGTGCTCTAAGCACAAAAATGTTAAAGGGTTTCTGTAGGCAAGAGAGCAGATCAAGCAAGCAATGCATTTACTTGAAGCATAATGTCTGACGTATTACGTTAGCTCATCGGGACAATATTTTCCCTTCATCAGTGGTGGATGAACATTATAAAGGAAATGAAAAATCTTTTACTACCAAGGAGGCTCAAGATAAATCCACTTTCACCTTAGGCAGAATGATTGAAGTGGACATATACTTGAAAAGTAAATATGGAGAAACATTTATTTTTGTCTAAGCAGTACCCTGAAAAATCGAAGTGCACTTCCTGACATGTGACTGTTCCTAGGCACTCCTGATCTGTAGCCTAACAGCAGTAGATCTGCAGTGTGAGAGTAGGCAGCGCCATTACAAGATTTGAAGTAAGACTTGGTGATGCCAGTACTGTACAGCTCACTGTTCTCCTGGAGGCTTGCTGGATGGGAAGCGATACCTGAGCACATGCAGTGTATGCATCTCTCTGCTCCACAGATCTATGCTTTTTGCACCTCTTCTGCTGCTTCTTGATCAATACCCACTGCTCACAGAGAGTTATTTATTTGTAGTCATTGCTCACCAGTTGCTAGTGGTTCTTAAATTAAGCCACTAACTCAGTGACCCATACCGCAGACTATATCAGCAAAAGACTTCCCATTAGATTATGTGTGCATTTAAAGGGACACTACATTCAGCAGGTAAATCATAAAAATGCATTCTTGTATCTTAATATAAAAAAAATGTCGCTTATTTTGTAGCTCACTGCTCCCTCCCGTGATGGACTACAATCTCACGTTTCATTTATTATTTTGTATTGAGATTGTAGTCCATCACGGGAGCGAGTATGGAGTAGTGGCTACTTTACAACACACAGGGACAAAAGTAGTCACCCTCCAGACGGAAGGACAGTGTCACCACCAATTCAGAGATGATTTGAGGATCTACAGCCGAGTGATACACAAATAGGATACATTATTGTTCATAGATAAGGTACCTGAATGTACTTTAAGATTTAACTCCTGCGCCTGAGTTTAGTGTCACTTTAACATATGTATGCATGTTATTGATCTGTAAAAATCCTCCTTAATGTAGGCCTCTAAAAGCCTGCAGACTGCTGCTGGACACTGTCATCTTAGATGTGATGTCAGCAGCCCAGCTGCCCCTCTCTCAAGTAACACTTTATTCTACATAACTGCCCCCCTGGCTACTACATCAGAGGTTTGGTAGCGAAGTGAGCGGTGGAAGAGCTGGGCCAGCACAGAGAGCAATTAGACAAGGATAGAGCTATGATGCACATTGCAAATTAATAAAAAAATGTTAACGGTAAGGAAAAAAAACACTGCAAATAAGCATTTAAAGGAGATCTATGAGGTAAGTGATTTCCACTCATCCTCCTAGTTGGAGCCGACCTGTGACAAAGAAGCTGTCACAGGTCGGCTCTATTAATCGGGAAGTGAGCAAAAACATGCAGCCGATCTGCTCACTCCCCGACCGTCTCCCTGGAGTGAGCGATGACTGTTAGTCACCGCTCCCCGCAGGGATTCCCCCCTCTCCGATCCTCCAGCACTGAGTGGAAGAACGAACAGGGGAGTGGCGGGCAGAGCTGGCTCTGCCTCTAAATTGGCAGAGCCCGCTGTCAATTATGCAGTTGGGTGGATCTCCACAGTATTGGTCGGGATCCGTCCCAGCTGCGGCACTCTCGGTATATCGCAGGCAATAGCCCGCTATATACTGAGCTTTGGGTCATGGGAGGAGGTTAGTATATGTCCCCCCGTGAACCAAAAGAGATCTATTGGCGACAACACTTACCCCATAGTTCTCTTTTAAAATACATATTTCTGTTCTTTCACCTGTAACTTGCCCCTGGGTCTCTTTAAATACTTTCTAAACCATGGAGTCAAAACAAGGAGGCAGATGCGGTAAAGTCAGCTTCTCAAACTATTGATGCCATCAGATCGGCACGCTGGACAGGCAACTAGCAATTAAAACAGGTTTAGTAATAGCTGTTTTGGTGTTTCCCAATGACAGGTTTCCATTGTCAGTCTTATCTTTCCAATGCTTTTAATTGCCAAATCTTCCTGACAAATACCATCTTGCACTGCTTCTGAATAAATCCCTCACAGTAACATAAATTTTCCCCAAAACAGAATCAAATCTTCCTGACAAATACCATCTTGCACTGCTTCTGAATAAATCCCTCACAGTAACATAAAAAAAAAAAAAAAAACAACAATCACCACTAGATCCTATTTGACATACACGCTAGATTTCTGTGTCTTTAAATTATAAAACATTTTTGTGACAAAAGCCACGTACATCTAAAGCTTCCTGTATGCCCACAGATGTGGATGCACAGCTCTTTTGCAGGATGTGGTCATGCAATCCTACCAAATCCCCCATCAGATGAGAGAGGGGAGCGAGGAAGGTGTAGCCAGAACATCTGGCCAGTGCTGGACAGCGACTCCTAGGACGCTACTGTGCAATGGCTTAGCGTTGCCAGCCTGTAATAGCTAGGCCACTGCACAGGCGAATTACTGGCAGGATCACCAGGTAATATTCACAGGCGTTGCCAGCCTGTAATAGCTAGGCCACTGCACAGGCGAATTACTGGCAGGATCACCAGGTAATATTCACAGCTCTCTAACCCTGTGTCCCGAGTGCTACTGTGCAGTGTAAACGCTCCAGCTTTACAAATGGCGGATAATAAGTCAGTGCTCCTCTTCAGGTGCTGCAACGGATAGCTCTGACTCTCATACAGTGCAGGGAATCGTGTCATTTACACTCCTCTTCCTCTATTTAAAGAAAAAAAAACTTTGTACACCTTTCACAGAATACAAGACACCCTGTGAATGGACAGGATGGGCAGGTAAATGACAGGATCTCCCCTTGCCCATTCACCGAATGCCTGGTGTTCTGTGAAAAAGAATACAAGACCTTCCCCCGCACTGTATAAGAGGCAGAACTATCAGTCGTAGCATCAGAAGAGGGCTGACTGTAATATCCGGCATCAGTAAAGCTTTCACACTACACAGCAGCACTGAAGACACAGGATGACCATTATCAGATGTTAGGACGACCATTATCAGATGTATCTCAGAGTTACCGCTATGGAGAATTCGACATGATATTTTTTCTGGAGTTCTGCTTTATATAACAGTTCACACACTTGAACAAGTCACAGGTCCAAAGCATTCACTACTCATTAACTCACACTAGCTGCTTGTATTCCTTCCTTTGTATTCCCTGCATCTTTTGTGACTTCAACCCAACCCCCCCATGATTGATGGTGGATGATCCCAGGCGCTGACCCACACTGCTCAGTGCACACACTCAGCTATACCCCACCTATAAAAACAGAGGTAAAACCCATTCCCCCAAATCTTCTATTAGAAAAATGTTCTCTAAAGAGGATGGAACACCCCCACATGTATATAATCATATTGGAACACCCCCACATGTATATCATCATATAGGAACACCCCCAGATGTATATCATCATATAGGAACACCCCCAGATGTATATCATCATATAGGAACACCCCCACATGTACATCATCATATAGGAACACCCCACATGTATATCATATAGGAACACCCCCACATGTATATCATCATATAGGAACACCCCCACATGTAGATCATATTGGAACACCCCCACATGTAGATCATATTGGAACACCCCCACATGTAGATCATATTGGAACACCCCCACATGTAGATCATATTGGAACACCCCCACATGTAGATAGTACACGTATCTCTATTTGTTCTTCATTAGGTGAGGTACAATGCCAGAGAACAGTATCATTGTGATCTGTGTGTTGGAGCAACATCATAAAAAAATCATTATCACAGTAGGGAGTGACATTTCCAGCATCTTTCCCCCACTCATTATTTCGGTCTTTAATTTCAACATCTGCAGTTGCCCCCATCAGACACCCTCCATGCGTCCCTCCCTTATACTCCACCCAACAGATGTTCTCCAGACCCAGGCTGACAGTCTACAGCCGTTCCTAGTCAGCACTTCCGCCTGCGCCACGGCAGCCTCCCACCACCCCAAATTCTGCTCCCCCGCTCTCTCCTATCCTCAATCCGTTAAGACAAACTCCGAGAATATTCTCACGCTACCGGCCTCACCGTTCTCCGCGGAGCCGTCTCTCCCTTCTCTTCTTTCTGGCCGCTTCCGCTCCGCCCCGGGGCAGATCCTCCCGCGAGACTTCCGGGAGAACGTCAGATCCCGCGGGCGTAGCGCATTGCGTCACCGCGCTAGCAGCGAGTGACGTGAAGCTGTTGAGCTGCCATGTTATGTGTGGGCAAGGGATTGACACTAGCTACAGGCTACAGGCTACGTTCACACACTAGCTAAGCTCTCCTGCTTTTAGGTTATTTAAAAGCAGGAGGTGTAATGGGGGAGTGTAAGCATACTTTATGCTTCCCAGAACCTCGTCTAGATGTACCTGCCTTTAGGGCCTATTCACACTTGTGAATTGTGGTAACACGCATTTTATGGGCTCATTTACACCAGACGCTGTGCTCACCGCATGGTGTGTGGTGCCCCGGCACAGTGCCGAAGAGCTGGTCCCATCGCATCACTTTGTTTTGTTAAAACTTTATTAATATGTTACAAGTGACATTTCATTCAGTTCAATGGGCACAGCGAGGTGCGAAGCGGTTGTACTGTGTCGCACCATCTGCGCTGAAAAAATTAAGGCATGCCTTACCTTTTTTCAGCGTACACTATCGTGTTCCTACCGCAACGCGGTGGTGTGAATGGGCATCATCCCTGATAAGGCAAATTGCCATGTTTTGCATTGGGGATTGCGCTGACATCAACGGCCAGTGCAGCTCCAACGCAGATGGTGTGAATGGACCCTAAGAAGCCTATTCATTCTGAATGTCCCACGATGCACCAGAGATGCTGCGTGCCACAATTTTCATAATGCACAGGCAACGTGTTTACATTGCATTACCACCCTGCACAGGTGTGATTCGGCCCTTGGGGTCTACTCACACTAGATCCATTGGGGCTGCACTGGAAGCCTTTTCAAGCGCAGTCCCAATTGCCTTTTTTTACAATCAGCCTAGTACACTGTGCGGGGGGATGAGCTGAAAAAAAGTAACGTGTGCAGTAACATTTATCAGCACAGTGTGGGGCAATACGGTACAACCACAGCACGCTGTGCACAGATTGTAGAACCTACTGAAATGTCACATGTGACATTTCAATAAAGAGCTAACAAAAAAAGGGAACTGTGCAATGCCCCACAATTGGCGCAACAGCACTGTTTTTGTCAGCGTACACCAGCAGCTGTGCGTTTAGCGTGACTTGCTGGTTGTATTGCATTATGCTAAACATGTGTATTTAGCACGGATTGCACACGGTAACACGCGATAGGTGCGCTGGCAGGTGTGCATTGCAGCAGCACACGCTACCAGCATAACTTGTGTTGCTATGCAGTGATGAAAAGTAGTGCATGCGTTACTTTTTCTGCTACACAGCAGCACAATGCACATTATTGCAGTACTGTGTGTTGCGTGGCGCTGTAACACCTACCCACCTGGATGTACTGTATGTTGGGGTGTCATTCAGAATGAATAGCAGTGCACCCAGTGAGCGGTACCATGTGGTATGCGATAGTGGGTGTTTAATGTAGGGATCCCGTGCATTTAGTGCAACATGGGTGAAACTACTGCTGATTTCGCGGCGGCGATTGAGCGCTTCAGTTGTCTTCTGTGGCTGGAGTGAAGGGAAGACAGATGCACTGATTTTTCTTCTCCTCGGCGGCTGCAGCCACAGAGCGTCAGAGGAGGAGAAGAATCAGTTTGTCGGTCTTCACTCCCGCCACCTGCAGCTTCATCCGCCCACCTCATCTGCCATAGGCTGGACGTTTTTGCAGCGTGGGACCTGAAGCATACATCTCTGTACCCCCCCAGCACCAGTACCACCACTAGCACCAGGAGAGGCAGATCAGCTATATGCACTGTAAGTCCTGTTCTTTCTGCCTTACACTGCTGACCTCTGTGCGTTACATTACTGACCTCTGTACTGTGCGTTACATTACTGACCTCTGTACTGTGCATTACATTACTGACCTCTGTACTGTGCATTACATTACTGTACTGCTGACCTCTGTACTTTGTGTCACACCGCTGACCTGGCGGAGTTAAGGCCGGGGCAGGGTAGGGGTTAGGTGGGGCAACTGGTGGCGAGTAACTCTTAAAGCATGGCTAGTAGCTCAGGGCCTGAAATTTTGAGCCCTGACATAAGTTATGATTACTGGTATTTTCCCACACTGGATCAATGGCAGTCACTTTAAGGGTGCACAAAAATTGTTTTCTATGATCTAATCTTCTGACTTGCATTTCACCTCTTTCTGACCTGCATTTCACCTCCCTTTGACCTGCATTTCAACTCCCTTTTACCCACACTTTACCTCCCTCTGAACTCCATTTCGCCTCCTTCTGGCCTGCATATTACCTCCCATAGACCTGCATTTCACGTCCCTCTGACCTCCATTTCACCTCCTTTTGACTTGCATATTGCCTCTCTTTGACTTGCATTTCATCTCCCTATGACCTGCATTTCACCCCCCTTTCACCTGCATTTCATCTCCTTCTGACCTGCATTTCAGCTCCCTTTGACCTGTATATTACCCTTTGACCTGCATTTCACTTACCTTTGACCTGCATTTCACCTCCTTCTGATGGTTATGAGGTGTGAGCCCCCAGTTCCAATTAGGAAGGCTTGTATGGATATAGCTAAATCTATTACAAAATATATATCTGTGCATTTATGGTCTAGATCAGGGGTAGGCAAACTCCGGCCCTCCAGCTGTTGTGGAACTACAAGTCCCATGAGGCATTGCGAGATTCTCACATCCACAGGCATGTCTCCCAGAGACACATGATGGGATTTGTAGTTTCACCACAGCTGGAGAGCTGGAGTTTGTCTACCCCTGGTCTAGTGGTTAAAGATTTCTCAAATGCCACAGTCCCCTCAGGCCTTGCCCAGATGCATTTAAGAGTAATCAGTTATCTGCAAATCTGCTCCTTGATCTTTCTAGCTTTTAAAATAACCCAATAAGTGTTTGAGTTGTTTATATATGGCCTACCTGTTTATGAGGGGTCTCATAAAGCCCTAATGAAAGTCAACCATGCATAATTGCAGATCACCAATAAATAAGCACTCCACAGATGTAGTTAAACACTAGAGGGTCTGGCAAGGATAATGACCCAAGCGAATTCCAATTCACCTTGAGCCATAAACTGAAAGTTAGCACCAAATTCAAAAATCATAACTCTGAATCCGGGGGTGATATATTAGAATTAACTGTATATAAAGCTGCATTTCTTCAAAATAAATTTGCACATACCAAATTCGATGTGTCCATGAACTCCAGGAAGCTATAAACACATAATGCCCCTTTTGAGACACCCATAATTCATAGACATATTACATTAAGAGTCCACCACAAAGCAAATGACATAACGCACAATAATCTATAGTTTACTCTGGGCTAAACTCTCAAAATCCAGAGAAAGATTTATTAATATGAAATTAACGGGAGGGGCAGAAGAGAGAATCATAAAATGCTCAGCCCTCCTACTCATCCTCCCTGCTTCTCCCAGATTGGGCTAAGTGGCCAACTCGGGGACACCCCCTAGAGCAGTGGTTTTCAACCTGTGTAACCTCAGGACCCACATTTGTCCTTGTTCATTAAGTCGCGACCCAAGTCGCACTGCGATCAGACTTTGGGTGGGAGGTGCGTTTGGGATGCCATTCAAATGAATGGCAATGTAACACGGCTCCCACACGCATGGATGGAGCACCCTCACAGCCGCAGCCCACTCCGCCTCAAGCTAGCACTCGGTGCCGGGCAGCATATTTTGGCGTGAGAACTGACAGTGGTGCAAAAGGTGGTGGCTGAGAAGCCTTTCACCTAGAAAAGTGGAAGGCACGCTGTGACCCACTGAACATTGGTCATAGCATGCCCAAACCTCAGAAGACGTGTATCCAAACCTCTGTTTTTAACCCTAGTGGTGAGACGAGTTTTTTTACATGCTAGCTTGTGAGTGTGCCAGGAAAACTTTTTGCTGTTTTTCCACTGAACATAGGGTCGCGACCCACCAGTTGAGAACCAAGGCCCTAGAGGACCTACTGGGTCAGTCAGAGTCTCTCGTAACACCAAAGCTCATAACATCAAAAGGAGAAGCTCTTGTAATATCTAACAAGAATTCCCCTTTAACATCAATAAATAATCTTTCCAAGCCTTACTTGGAGAAAGAGCCATTCAGATCCATCTTTTGCTGCATTGAACTTGACTCTGCTAGAGTTTACTAAACCCAGGACTTGTTGAGTATTCTCTTTTTATTTATTTTTCTTTTACTGTTGTTATCTCTCTCTTTGTGAACATCTTTTTCCTGCACCGTTCCCTTTATTAACCCCTTCGTGACGGGAGACGTACACTGTACGTCCCGCCACGAAGTGCCCAAATGACTGCTCACGTACACTCTATGTGATCAGCAATTTGGGGCTCTGTAATGATGCTAACCGCTGAGAATCAGCGGTTACTGTTCATTAATGAATGCCTCAGTATTGAGGCATCCATTAATGAAAGAGTTAGGCTTTTTCAGACACCCGTTCCCTTTCAGGAATCGGGTATCTGACAGTAAGAGCAGAGCTGTATTTACAGCTCTCACTGACAGCTGGTATAGATCAGGAAATCACAATGTATACCGTCTTTTTCCCCCCAAAGTCTGGATCCACCCAGCTGCGTGAGTGACAGCTGGCTCTGCCTATCTAGAGGCAGAGCCAGCTGTACCCGCCCCCTCCCCCGTCCGTTCCGCCAGTCAGCGCTGGAGGATCGGACAGGGGAGGGGGGAATCCCTGCAGGGAGCCGTGTGTGACAGCCATGGCTCTCTGCAGGGACAGGATCGAGAAGTGAGCGAGCGACGGTATGTGTTTGCTCACTTCCCGATCTGTTGAGCCGACGTGTGACAGTTTCGGCTAGAACTATGAGGCTGAGTGATTTTTACTCGCCTCATAGTTCTCCTTTAAGGGCCGGTGCACACCTAGGCGATTTATTGCACGGTTTTGAGTTGCGCGATATTGTGCAAAACACAGATTCGCATTGAAGTCAATGGAGGCTGCTCACACCTTTGCGTTTTGTCAGGCGACCAAAATCGCCGGTCGCGCGAAAATGTGTGGTTGTCGCACGGTTTGGGTC